GCGCTCCTACGATTATCGCTGGCTCTATGGGAACCAAGCCGACTAATCGTGCGTCGCGTCGTTGACTTTTTATCGAAACCGAACGACCGCTGCCGATCCGCCGACTATTCGCCGGATCCGAAAACGCGAAAATTCCTCTTTTTCTTCTTCGGCTAGCGAGATCCGAATATCCGAATTTTCGGCGTAATTCGGCGATGCTTCGTACTGATTCGAACTGATTCGAAAGACCGTCGTCGCGGTTGGTTCGCGATCGAAAAGCTCGATCGATACTCCGGCAGAGTTCTAGCGCGATATTCCGCGTCGCTCTGTGGATAGGAAAAGGCTGTCGAAATCGAAGCAAAGTATTTCACCGTCGCTTCCGGGCTGCACGCGACTCGTGCACGTGAAGTCGCGTGTCGCGAATCTTGTCGCTCGTGTACGCTCGTGTTGCTGCGAACGGGCACCGCGCCGTCACTTAGCGCGTTAGCGGTCGCTCTTTCTTCCACTTACGCTGTCCAATTCGAAGAGGTTGCCGCGTGATTTTTTCACGATTCTATCCACGCTTCTATACACGCTTCTATCCACGCTTGCATCCACCGCGAGCGAAACTGGTAGGGATAATTTTACAAGAGGAGCTTCGCTCGTTTCGGCCTACAAATATTTATATTCATAATTCCGGCCGGACCGACGAGTACGCGCGAAAGCGTCCAGTCGATTCGTCCGATGGCTTGCCCATCTCTTGCACAAACAACGAATGTTCGGTGTAAAGCAAACACGCATAAAATTAGTAGCATTCGACACTTGTCCGGCGCGATCTTCCTTGCGAAAACAAAGGTTCGCAATTCGATCGGACGATGGACCGAAGGGTGATGGACCGCGTCCATCGATCGTGACCGATGGTCACACCCTCCCCCGATCGACCGGTTGACCATCGACGTTGACAGTTGGCACCGCGACACAATCGTCCGATAATTGGTTGATATTGTTCGGAATGCTCGAGTCCGAAGCAACGTGCGCGCACGCATATGCCAGTCCGCGTATCTAAATGATCGCGTGCTCGATTGCTTTACGATTTGTTGGTGCAGTTTCTCCGATCAATCGGAAATATGAATTTATCGGCGATCGCGTTACAGTATCTCCACGCATCCGCGAGAATTTATCGGCGATAGTATTACGACGATCGGAATAGAATGATAAATATCAGCCCCTACGATTCTACGAACCGTACGTTCTACCCTTGTTTGTCCTCGCAATCTTTCTCCACCATCGAATTCTTCTTTTGTATCGTGTCGTACCTCGGATTCTATGGACATGGAAATACACGCGTTTCGCGAGGTTAGTCGCGATTTTACGTATCTGCAAATACGAGCAATTCGATCCTTACCTTTCCTCGCTTCTCCCTTTTCCGTTTCTTCTTCCTCTCTGAACAGTTTTCGACCAATTCGAGCGATAGCGAAACATTTTTCACGTTTCCAAACGAATGTCTGAAAATCCGGCGAGTCATGGAACGTCTCGTCCCATGCCATATGTGCCATGGGCACATCGTAGCCTGCCCTTCGCCAATTAATCGACTCTCCGATTAACCGTTGTCCAACTCGAATTACAAGCCCATAGTGTTAAACACAGATCCGGGGAAAAGCGAAAAGTCGTCCTGCGGCCAGTTTCTAGTGTCTTCGGTGTAATTCTGATTCAGTTAGTTCCCATATTCGTTGAAAACGTTGGGCTACGAACGGAAAAGGAACGTTGTATATTCTCGAGAGTGGGGGTGGCCAGAAACTCATCGCACTTAAATGAATATATACATTTAGAAAGTCGAATGGGAATGCTCACACCCTAAAATTATACTCCCATTTAAAAGTCACCCCAATCGTCGCAGCAATTCGCCGCGGTTCGGGGCGTCTCAATTGAAAACAAGTGTAAATCGTCGCGGATCCGCGCTCATATATTAAACAATTTTTTTAGCCGTGATTTTCAAAGGTGACAGCTGTCACGTGCCGATTCGGCGGACTGGAACAACCGCAGAACCACGTTCCTTCCTTTCCAATATGTCACTGCACGTCTATCTTCGAAATTTCATTTTATTCGTTTCTACTTTCATAGAATAGAACGACGTTGCGTTCAGTTAACCAGCTCCTTGCCACCATGCTATGGAACGATCGATCATGCGTCCAAATTTTACAACATCACCGGCTATTGTACGAATTAAGATACCTTTGATCGATGACTTTTCGATCGAAGTCTGCTATCGCTTGATCCCAGGGGAAAATGTAGCGGCCGTGTTAACGATACATATTGTCCTAACGCGTTAACTCCCCCCCGCTTTTGTTTCAAACGACTCTTTACCTTCTTTATCAACGTAGCGTTTTCCGAACATTGTACGAGATACAAAAAAAATTTAATGTTACCTCTGATATTACGTATATAAGAATAAGTAGTCGGTATACATAGTTAGAATAACTAGAATCATCTAGCGGTGAAAATATGAAATATTAACCGAAGAATCCAAGAACAAATATTTTTTATTCGTGATAAATCTCTTTGATCGTTATATCGAATTCTTTATTAATTTCTAACTTGGAAATGTATTTTCTCATACTGTCTCGTATAATTCCATTTCCGTACAATTCCATAAATTATAGTTTTCATAACATAACCTTCTTCTTGCAACGATCGCTCAAACGACAAACGTCTGCCCTCGCAGCAACGCGTGATAAACATTTATAAGTTGTGGCGTTTCTTGTATTCTAAATATTGTATTGCGAATTATAATACCTGCTTATCGTTGAAATATCGAAATTATTTCAAATATTATACCGTCTCTATATGCAGAAATATGTGTATAAAATGTATCGTGGATATAATATAACCTTAATGTTATAATACCAATTAGCGAATAGTAAGTTTTATAAAGAAATTGAAAATGTCAAGTGAAACGGGGAACGACGTCACTCATAAAACTCATAGAGAGCGTAATGCCGGTCGTAAAGCGGAAAAAAAGAAACGAAAGAAAAGCCATGTTCAAGAACTTACGGATAAACAGAAAAATCCAAAGGCATTTACATTTAATTCTGCGATTAAGGCAGAAAGACAATTTAGACGGAAACAGGATATAGAAACAAAGAAACAACACATACCACTGGTTGATAGAACTCCTCTTGAACCTCCTCCGGTTTTAGTTGCTATTGTTGGCCCTCCGAAGGTTGGCAAATCTTTAGTTGTTCAATGTCTCATTAAGAGTTACGTGAAACAACCATTAACTAATATAGTTGGCCCTGTTACTGTAGTTTCTGGGAAGAAAAGAAGAATTACCTTTATGGAATGTAACAATGATCTAAATAGTATGATAGACATTGCTAAAGTAGCAGACCTAGTGTTGCTCTTGGTAGACGCGTCCTTTGGCTTTGAGATGGAAATATTTGAATTTCTAAACATCTGTCAAGTTCATGGTATGCCTAGAATTATGGGTGTTTTAACTCACTTAGATTTAGTAAAAAATGCAAAACAGTTAAAGAAAATCAAAAAGACGTTGAAACAAAGATTTTGGACGGAAGTCTATGCCGGAGCAAAATTATTTTATCTATCTGGATTAATTCATGGAGAATATTTACGTACAGAAATAAAAAATTTAGCAAGATTTATTTCTGTCATGAAATTTAGGCCACTGACTTGGCGTACCACGCATCCTTATATCCTAGCTGACAGAGTGGAAGATTTAACATCTCCGGAACTAATTAGACAAAATCCAAAAGTTGATAGGACGATAAGTTTATATGGGTATGTAAAGGATTATATATATATATATGTAAATATTATGTTTCTTTTAATTTTTAATATTAATTTTTTGTTAATATTGACAGATATGTGAGAGGAATTCCATTAAATAAAGAAACATCCATACATATTCCGGGTTGTGGCGATCTAAAGATCAAAGATGTTAGTTTTTTGCCAGATCCGTGTCCTTTGCCTGAAGAGTTAAAGAAACGTGCATTAGTAGAAAAGGAACGATTAATTTATGCACCTTTTTCCGGTGTTGGTGGTATAGTATATGACAAGGATGCTGTTTATGTTGAATTGGGTGGTAGCCATTCTCATCAAGAAGAAGAAGAAACAGGCTTGGTTGGAGCTTTAATGGACACACAGGAAACGTTAGACCAAAAGTTACAACACAGCGAGCTACAGTTATTTAGCGACGCTGCTCCAATAAAGTCACAGGATGTAAGCGAAGATTTAGACAGTTATAAGGGAGAAACTATAATTGATAATGGCAGGATCAGAAGAAAGGTTCTCTTTTCTGATTCTCAATCACTGGAGAATTTCTCCGATGTATCTGATGATAGCGATCAGGAAGATATCGCAGACGATCAGTTAAACAGTGATCAAGAGGAAGAAAGTGAGAATGAGGAAGTAGATGAAGTGGAAGCGAAGGCTGAATGTTTGCAGACAGACAATGACGGTGAGAAAGAAACGTATAAAAAGAAAGGCCTTAAGAGAAAAAGTAAAAGCTATAGACCAGAGAATGTTAAAAAGAGGAAAAGTTCGTCAGATAATTCAAATCTGGAAGACAACGACGTATCTATTACGAAGCAAAACTCTCTGAATTTGACAAAAGGTAGAATTTCAAATGTATCGAATGACACGGATGTTTATCGTTCTCTGTGCAAGGAATCGGATATCTTCGTAAAAAATAAGATTAAGGAAGCGCTCGACCAATTAAATTTAGATTCAAGTAAAACAAGCGAGAGGATAAATAGCGAGAGCGAAAGTTTTGACGAATTAAGCGACGGAGATTCACGAGATGGATTAGAAATGGATGACTCGGAAGAGGGAACTGATTTTCGTGAAACTTCCGAGGAAGAAGAAGAAGAAGAAGAAGAAAATATCGAAGCTAATAATATGAAGAAGAAGAAGAGGGAGGAAGAAGTTGATGAGATCGAGGATGACGAAGAAGTTGAAGATGAATTAAAATGGAAATCAAACTTAGTCGAACAAGCCAGACAAGCATTCGAAAAACGTCAGCGAAGCAACAAAAATCTCATGAAAGTCGTTTATGGAGTGTTCGATAGGAACTGCACGAAAGAGGATGAGAATGTGGAGGAAATGGAGGTCGAAAATGACGAAATAGGTGGTATCTTCCGTGTCGTTCAAGAACAGCAGAAACAAAAAGTACAAGAAAAAGAGTTGCAAAATCAAGAAGAATGTATATTTTTTCCGGAAACTCAACGGAATTGGTTGGACGAAGAAAATAAAATACTTGTAGTAAATCGTTTCGTAACCGGAAAATGGAAAGAATCGGAAGATGCAGAAGAACTCTTAAAGTTAGATGATGTAAATGACGAAGAATTGTACGGTGATTTCGAAGATATGGAAACTGGGGAAAAGCATGAAGCAGAAAGTAGAAAAGAATCCATAAAGGATGAAATGGAGGAAAGGGAAAAGCTCTTGGAAAAGAAGAAAAAATTGAAGGAACAATTTGATTTAGAGTATGATAACGGCGAATCTAAAACATATTACGACGAATTGAAACTTGAAGTTGAAAAACAAGCGAATTTAAATAAGTCGGAATTTGAGGGATTAGACGATAACATAAGGGTACAATTGGAAGGTTATCGCCCAGGTATGTACGTGCGTGTCGAAATTGAAACTGTGCCATGTGAACTGGTTACTAATTTGGATCCTACATATCCATTAATTATTGGAGGATTGTTACATGGGGAAGAGAATATAGGATATGTACAAACAAGAATAAAAAAGCATCGATGGTATTCGAAGATCCTAAAGAGCAAAGATCCATTAATACTTTCTGTAGGTTGGCGTCGATTCCAGACGTTACCAATTTTCTCAAAATTAGAAGACAACTTGAAAAATAGAATGTTAAAATATACTCCAGAACATATTGCCTGTATGGCACATTTTTGGGGTCCTGTTACACCACAAAGTACAGGAATCCTGGCAGTTCAGGATGTTGCCACTAGAGTACCAGGTTTTAGAATAGCGGCAACAGGTTCTATCGTAGAGATGGATAAAAGCACACAGATCATGAAAAAATTGAAACTTACTGGTGTTCCGATGAAGATTTATAAAAAAACAGCTTTTATAAAAGATATGTTTAACTCGGCACTCGAAGTTGCTAAATTTGAGGGTGCTAGAATAAAAACCGTATCCGGTATACGCGGTCAAATAAAGAAAGCTGTATCAAAGCCAGAGGGATGTTTCCGTGCGACATTCGAAGACAAAATACTTTTGAGTGATATTGTTTTCTGTCGAACTTGGTATAAGATTGACGTTCCAAAATTTTATAATCCTGTTACATCGCTCTTGTTACCTGTCGAAGAAAAGAATCGATGGCAAGGAATGAAAACAACTGGACAATTAAAAAGAGAAAAGAACATTCGCGCACCTGCTAACAAGGATTCTATGTATACACCTATCGAGAGAATGGTAAAAGTGTTCAAACCTTTGTCTATTCCCCGAAGTTTACAGAAAGAGCTCCCGTACCGAGACAAACCAAAAATAATGCCAAAATCGAAACACGAGCCAAACTTCAAGAAAGGCAGAGTAGCAGTAATACGTGAACCAAATGAAGCTAACGTTGCGAAGCTGATGAGAATGATTAAGACCAACTACGCTTATAAACAAAAACAACTTAAAGAAGCTACTAAACGAAGAATCGAGGGACATCAAGCTAAAATTGCTGCCATTGAAGCACGAAAACTTAAACGGCAGAAAGAATTGAAGAAACAAGTGTTTAGAGAACTTGGTAAATTAGAAAAGAAAAAGAGGTCATAGTGTATATTTGTTTATAAAATATGTTGCATTCTAATAGATAGGCTGGCAGTTATCTTTTACCACTTTTTACTTTTGTTCCGTGCACGTTTTGATCGTCCGTATTCTTATGTAAACAATAAACTGTATATAATAAAGCAGTTGTCAAAATATTTGTTTTACTGCATATATTTTAGATAAGTTACAGAATTGTTATATATTATGAAAATATATTATTAGTCCATATAAAATAATAACAACTTTATACGCAATGTATTTATAATATAGCTTGTGATCCACGCCATGAGGCAATAGTATGATGTCCTGTTGAATAATTATCTCCACTCTAAAACCAATGGGAAAAGGATAGTTTGGATATATTTTTTATTTTGAATATTTTCAACATTCTGATTACCTGCGTCAACATTAGCAATTCGTCTTGAGTGTCGACGATTTTAACGGGAAATGGAGATCCAGGTACAAGGACGCCTGCCCAACGAACTTCGACTCTATAATCACCTGGTTCCGTTGGATCGTATCGACATAGGATTATCCGATCCTTCTGAGTCTCTCTCTGCATTTCTACTCTAAA